AAAAAAAAAAAAAAAAAAGTCAACCACGAACCCGCCAAAAAGTTCAAATTTTTAAAAATTAAAATTTAAAATTTCGAAAGTTTGGAATTTAATTGTATTGTATGCCTCTTTTAGAATTTAATTATTTTATTAAATATGAAATTAAAATTTTAATGAAAAATGAAAAGAGACAAGGGAGCAGAAGGAAAAGGAAAAATCCTAAATAGGGAGGAGAAGGATGCAAATGGAAAAAAATAAAAAATAAAATAAAAAAATGGGGCATTAAATATGAATATGTTAAGAGTCGGGATTTAACCTGTTACCGGCAGTGGTTCATCGATTAAAGTTAGAGATAGAGAGAGAGAGGGCTCTCTCGTCAATTTTTCATTAAATGCTCCTCCCCACCTCCCATTAATGACCCCTACAAAATTGCCAGACAGCTCTCATTAAACACCTTCCACCTCCCCTTCTCTCTCTTCCCTTTCTCTCTCTCTCTTCCGTCCACCACCGCCTTCCGTCGCATCGCTTTTCTTCCTCCGCCCTATCTCCCACCGTCCGTTTTTCCCTCTCTCTCCCTCATCCTGTCCGCACACGTGTCCTCTCCTATTTTCACATTTTCCCCCTTTTTTTCTTTTTTTCTCTCATCTTCGGTTGAATCTCTCCGGTGATAGTAATGCCTCGGGATCTCCGCATCTCAATCGGCTCGATGAGAACGTTGCTGCTCCTCCGCTGGTTACCGACGATCGGAGAAACATTGGACTTGTCATCGACTTGCTTCGTCTCGATGAACCTCCGCCTACGCCGTTGGAGAATCTCCAGCTTGATTCCGATAGCGGAAAGAATCCTCCTCGTCGTCTGAAGAACGGCGATTTCATTCCTCTGTAGTATCGGAATGAGAACACTCTCGCCTTCGGTAGAGATCCGAACGGTGATGGCCGTTTGCTCCAGAAGCTTCCACGGCGGTACCTCCATGGCGATGCGGTTGCTGGTTCCAGAATCATTCTCTCTGACGCCAAGCTTCGTTCGAATCCGAATGAATACGATCGTTTCAGTAAGAAATCTCGCCCGTTCATTTGATCCTCTAACGAATTACTGTTCCTTGGTTCATCAACGCAAGGCGTGATTTCCGATTCTGTTGCGTGATAAGAATCTCGATTAGGAATAGGACCTTCCGCTAGCGGCTCTAATACGATGCTCTGTAAGATCGTTTCGTCGAGGCTTGGCCGGATTCTTGCTGCCATAACCGGCGTGAACGGAGATTCTGGCCTGAAAACCACCGCGCGACAGAGAGGACAGTTCGCGTGTGATCTAAGCCATACGTCTATACAATCAACGTGAAATGCGTGAGAACAAATCGGAAGCGTTCGGACGTAATCGTCGTCTTCAAACTCCAGAAGACAAACGGCGCACTCACGGTCACGGCTGTCACGGCGGCTCTTGGCAGTATAGACGGAGAGTGGAATCGTCTTGATGATGGATTCGTCGAGGCCGTACGGGGAGAACACGTGGAAGCCATCCGTATGCTCGAAGAAAGGCGAATCGTAAGGGAGCGAATCCAAGTCGCCGCCGGAGGAGGACGGGAGGTAAGATCGGGCGCGCCGTCGTCTCCGCCGCCACCGCCGCCAGCGGCGGCGGTGGCGGCGGATTAGGAGGAGGATTGGAGGGATGACGTGGCGGGAGATGAGGCGAGAGTAAGTGACGATGAGAAAGGCGGTAGCGATGACGACAACCATTGCGATTAGAGGAGGACTGAAGTCGACTGGGAGCTTTCCCGGCAGTAAGGATGAGGGGGAAGGGAAATTGACGGCGGCGGCAGCGGAGGAGGAGGTGGAAGGGGAAGGAGAAGGAGAAGGAGATGGAGATGGAGAAGGGGCGGTCGACATGGAAGGTGCTGCAATGGCGGACTGTGAGTTCTGTTGCAGAGAGGGATGTGAAAAAAAGGGAGGGTTTAATGGAGGGAAGATGGAAGAGAAGGGGGGTTTATTTGGATCCTTTGACTCGTTGTTAGGTCCTCCATGCGATTTGTCGACGAGGACCTTGGGTGAGTGACACGTCACTGTTCATGAATTTAAGGCCCTCGAGTTTTCATCTTCTGCGGACCATCACATTCCAATCTTCCATGTGTCTATTGCCACGTCACCAACCCTCCTCTCGATATATTATCAAACATAATTCCAACCTATCTCAAATTCATTAAATTCCGGTCCTATCCAAACCCAAACAACCTTCGAAGTTTATCCAAGGTATAACTCCGATCACTTAAAGAGATACACTAGTTGAGTAGGTCTCTAACTAAACTTAGCAACACCACTTCAAACAAAGCATTAACTCGAGCATCAATGCAAAGTCTGACCTATCACGCTAGCTTGTTTTTGAACCCGCTGGCATGTACTTATTCAACCATATTCTCGCATCATAGTATAATACAATTGTTCGATATATTACTTAAATCATATTCAATATGATGATATCATACAAATCTCATGCGATTAAATAGGAAAAGAATATTAAAAAAAAATTAAAATATTAAATATTGAAATAGGATAACGTTTTTGTTAGTTGAATTAATGGAAAAAATTGGCTTTCAAAAAGAATCGGAGGTGGAAGACACGTGGCAGAATTTGATTGGAGAAAGTGGGTAGATGTGGGCACAGAGGAGCAGAAAGTAAAAAGTGGTGGCCTACAGAAGAGGAGAGCAGGGATCTTCCATGAAATTTGATGCCAAAAAGGAAAACCCATTCATACGTAAAACAAAATATAATAATAATAATAATAATTAATTAATTAATTAAAAAGAAAATAAATAATTAAGATAATAAGAATGGATGTATGAGAACCACTGCAATAGCCATGTTTAGAGTCCACAGCCACAAAGTCATAAAAAAAATAAAAAATTAATTTTAATAATAAATAAATAAATAAAATTTGGGTCAAAAGGTGATATTGATGTGAAAGGAAACTTTTTACATAATGGAGCACTGAAAATATGTTGGCCAATACAAATTCTCTCCCTATATCATTGAATGATATTATAGGAAAAAATGTGTTTTTTTTTAATATTTAATAAAATTTTAAATTATTAATTTTATATCTAAAAAATAAATTTACAATATTTATCTAAGGTTTAAATTTTAAAAAATAAATATAGTTGTTATTCCATTCTCTTTAAAATATAAATTTGGTCCCAATAATTTCAAAAAAATTTAAAATTTAAGTGTTTTTGAAAGATACATTACAAATAATTTATATATTTTTGATAAGTTTTTATCTAATTTTTAAAAATTTAATTAAAAACAAATATCCATCCGAACAATTATATATTAAATAAAGAGTTGACAATGTTTTTTTTTATTATTTGCTCGATTTTATTAATTTAAATTTAAATTTCAATCGAATTAGATCATAGACTTAATTAAAATTGTAATTTTAATAATTATATATTAAAATTAAGTGATTTATCGAATTAAAAAAATCAATAAATTTATTAAATGTAAAATTAAAATTTGTATTTAATAATTTATTCATTCTTAAATATTTAAATTTTTTGAAAAAATTATTAGACTAAATTAATAAGAATATCCTTACAAACGTGTCTCAAAATACTCATAAACTTTCAAAAGTTTCAATAGTTTCAATAATATTAATTTTGGATGAAACAGTTAATATTGTATTTCAAAAAAAAAATTAACTCCAAAAGAGTTTAAAAGATACTCGTTAACTTCTAAAACATCCTTAAAACTTTCAAAAAAAAAAATATTATTAATGTCCTTAAATTTAAGGTTTAAAAAATACTAATAAATTTTCAAGAGTAACATTAAATGATTTTCATTCGTTCGGATAACAAAAAAATTTTAACATTTTTTTAAAATAAAGTACTAACCGTAAAAGTATTTTTAATTTTTTTAATTCGAAGAATATTTTAAAAATAAAATATTAACCATTTTTATTATTGATATTATTAGGAGTATTTTTTAAATAAAAATTAAAGAATATTTTTATGTAAAAATATGGTTCGGACTCGGCCTTAAACCCACCCCAACTCGAAAATCCCAAATTAGAGTTCTAGGGTTTTATTGTCGACTTTCGATCATTCCTCTGTTCTGCGAAAAATGTTTCCAGGAATGTTCATGCGTAAGCCTGACAAGGCTGCTGCACTCAAGCAGCTCCGATCACACGTTGCTATGTTCGGCGTATGGGTTGCTGTAATTCGAGTTACCCCCTATGTTCTTCACTACCTTTCCGACGAGAAAGAAGAACTCAAGCTCGACTTTTAGGTTATTTTCTAAGCTATTTCAACTCAATTGTGTTGATTCTTCTTGTGGGGGGTTTGGATTAATGTTTTCACTTTTAATAAATGACGCGATTATATTCCATCCGAATTTCGACCTCTAGTTTATTTCCTGATCTATTTATTCTATGTGTATCATCCCTTGGAAGTTTGTTCGATTTGGGAAATGGATCTGTTCTTGTTCCGTTGCGGATTTAGATGAGCTATCTGCTTCATGTTTATACTCTCGTTGTGAATTATCTTGAATTTTACGTTATTCGATTCCACTGCAATTCACCAGTCGAGGAGCGGTTGATTTTGTTAAATTAGCTGCTTAGCAACTCCTGTTATGTTAATTTGTTCTCAGTAAATTGCAATTTTTTCTTGGCCATGCCTGCAGTAATTGGAACAGATAAGTGATCCTGCTGCATTGTTCATGTTTCATATGGCTGTCTCTCGTTTGGTCTCTCTCAAAATCCTTCTCGAAGGGTCAGGCACTATAACCCTGATCCATTAGTGGATACCCTCATACCCTACATTGACATATAATTTTACAGATATTCTGATGAAATTGGAGTTTGAAGAAGATTTCATACTTGATTCTTGTTCATTGCATCAGAAGTTGTCTGATGAAATGACAGTTTCATAGACAATATGATACCTGAATGCAATGAGGTTAGAAAATTTTTAGATGGGTATGCAAGGGAATACGAAATTGCATTGCATTTGACAATATGTTCTTAGGAGGGTCCCTTGACTGCTATGAGGTGGGAGCTGGGAAATTTAATAACTCTTAAGTTGGTAGGTTTTCTGCTTGAAAATGAAACGAAATTATATATAATTGATGTTACCTTCTGATTAGTAGGAAAAGAACCGCCTCTTTACTTCACTCCAGTATAATATATTTCAGGTTTGGAGGTTCCTTTTCAAAGGTGATACCGATTTCTTGTAATGAATTTACGAATGTTTCATCTGTAGAATATTCGTGCCCGTTATTCCCCCGCGTAAAAAAAAAAACATGCTTTTGGTTGCTCTGTGGTTATGGAACCTTGTTCAAGGCTAATCTTAAAGGCAAGCCTAAGCTTATTAGTAATTTTCTTGACTACTCTCTTCTGTTCCTCCTGTTCCCTCCATTTTTTTCTTTAATCTGATCAACTCTAACTTATTTTCTGCACAATTACCAATGAGTTTGCCAAAGTATATTTTGGGGTTAGCTTTGTTTATCTGTATTGCGGGTATACATCTCACTGTTTGTGGACTATAAACTGAGGTTAATTTTGTTACTTTCTATGTCGTTTATGTAGCTCACTCAGCTTCCTTCTATTTCTGGTTATTGATGACCTTAATGTCTGCGCTACAAGGCTGTGTGTATTTCTATTTAGTTTTGGACCAATCGCTAAACCTTTGCTCCTTCATTCTTTATGCAGTTTTTGACTGGAGCATGGGGTTAGGCTTTTCAAATCACAACTTTTTTCTTCTTCTATTGATCCCATGAGGAACAAAAGGAAGGAGGCTCTTCATCTTTTTCATTTTTACCTTTTATATTGAATCATAGGCCTATGGTTAATATGGCGTGTGAGACTTGAAACCATTCCATTAAATCACAAGTTGGCTATGGGGCAGATAATGCAGGTTGCATTATAGGTAGTTGGTAGACTATGTTAATGTGAGATGCAGATGACACTGTCCTTCTATGCAGCCAAAGTTATTGCCTCAATTATTATTATAACTTTGTTCCCATATTGAACTTCCTATGAGTATAATGAATTCCCCCTAGCCAGAGTTAGTGAGATCACATTAATATATCCTTCAATTAGCTTTATAGAGTTCGCTCTAACTTATTGATGTCACGTATAAGGGTACACTTTCAAACCTTGAGATTTATGAGGTTTTAAGATAGGGATGCTTTTAGTTTGGAGGTTTGACGAGTTCCAAAGGTGTAACAGCCTAAACTTATCGCTAGCAGATATTGTCCTCTTTGGGTTTTCCTTATCGGGCTTCCCCTTAAGATTTTTAAAACACTTCGGTTAGGAAGAGGTTTCCACACCCTTATAAAGAATGCTTCACTCTTCTCCCCAACTATGTGGGATCTCACAATCCACTCCCCTTTGGGGCCAACGTCTTTGTTGTCATTCGCTCCCTTCTTCAATCAATGTGGGACCCCCCAATCCACCCCCTTCAGGGCCAAACGTCTTGTTGCTCACAATCCACTTCCCTTTGAGGCCCAACGTCTTCGTTTTCATTTGTTCTCTTCTTCAATCAATGTGAGATCTCCCAATCCACCCCCTTCGGGGTCAAACGTCTTTGTTGGCACACCGCCTTGTGTCTACCCCTTCGAAGCTCAGCCTCCTTGCTGGAACATTGTTCGATGTTTGGTTCTAATACCATTTGTAACAGTTCAAGTCCACCGTCAGATATTGTCCTCTTGCTTTTCCTTTCAGGATTCCCCTCAAGGTTTCTAAAACGCGTTTGCTACGTAGAAGTTTTCTCACCTTATAAAGAATGTTTCGTTCTCCTCTCCAATCAATGTGGGATCTCACATAATGACCCATAACTCATTTGATCATTAGTTAACTAACTATAAAATGATGCATTAGTGTAAATATTTGATTGTACTCGTGATTTATTAATTGAATACGATTATTCCAAACCCGTTATTAATTTCATAGAAGTTGATGCAATCAGCAAGATGGTAGATCTGGAAGAGACAAAGGGAGTAGAGGATGCTCAAAAAACAGGTATTTGTGTGATTATAAAGTGATTGTAGGGCATATGCCCTTGTTAATGTAGATTGTAGGGTATATGATGTCATGAGTTCCCAATAATTCAGAGCGTCACTGTAGGGCAGATGTTGCCCCTAAGTTCCTGTATGCAATTTAAGACTGTTTCTGCAGGGGACATCATGTCCATGCTTCAATTAAATCTTCTTGGCACCATATTGTTTGGCTTCATTTCACACATCAATGATTCTTATTTTCCACAGTATATGGACAAAGAATGTCTTTAACACTAACAAGAATACAAAAATGAGTAAAAACTTACCATTTTACTGCTTTCAGTATTATTTTCCTTCATTTTTAATTTTGTTTCTGATAGGTCAAAATCGAAAGACTCGGGATTCTATTAGACATAAAATAGATTTGTTATTTTCAAGCATATATAGAACCTAATTAACTTGACTCGGGGTCCTATTTTTAAGAATTTTAAGTGCGTACGGAACCAAATTAATATAAAGTTGAAAAGTTTAAGAGTTTATTAGACATTTCAAAGGTTCATAAAACATTTCTCGTTTTTACCATATAACCACAAATAAGTTGCATCTAAGTTATGGGGATCGTCCTTGCATGAACTCCAAATTTAATGTTTAACTTGCAATGGAACGCTATGCAAGTATGACTTAACTAGACATGTATCGTAAAGAAGCTTGAATTAATTATATCAATTTATTTATAGGAAAGAAGTGGGGAATAAAATCATGTTCTAAATAAAGTTGTAATGACTAATAAATTATGAGTTGGAGTTGTCAAAGAGATCTTGGACAGTTATAATGATCTACTTTCCAGTTCAACCAAAAAGCAAAACATCATTCCTTTTCAATTTCAAGCCAGATTTGATCAAGAAGATCCACAATAAATACAAACAGTTTCGAAAATTCGAATCGATCCAACTCACATACCCTTACGAGTCGTTCGATCATCTCTATAAAGACCATAGCCATGGAAATATCATGAATGAATTATCCCCCAACTCAATGATCAGAAACAAAGCTCATACCGGTTAGCTCCCATGGCTATTATCTCGAGAGCTGGAAGAAGAAACTTGTCAGCTAGCTCGGATCGTCGGGGTAGGTAGTTCGGTCGTCTTCTCCTTACTTGAATGACCAACTTTTGGATCTTTTCAGCTCCCATGGAGGCAGGCAGCCTTTATAATGAGAGTGTAGAAACAGTGAAGATATTGAAACTTCCTTCTGATTCATGGAGATCGAGGATAAGCAACCGAACCCGCTTCTTAGCCGTTTCTTTTCGCTGTCCTGTCCTTCGAAGCTCGGGTCGTGTTCCATGGTTGTCGCCTTAAGTGCCTTGGGGAGAATGCAGTTGCATTTTGAACCTGCATAATCAAAGGGTGTCCTGTTTTAACATCACATAGGATCGAGCATGAAATGACAAGCATTTCGAGCAAGCGAGACGAGGATCCGTGTACCTATCCTTGCAAGCCGATTAATCCATTTCGGTATGCGTTTTCCGGTTAGTTTTCTGCATATATCCTCACAGAAATGGTTGCAATTCTTCACGATCAAGTGATATGAATTGCCGTGATAGTTTGCAGCTTGACGTTCCATGAAGTCTCTAACTTGGATTGGGTCCAAGCAAGTCGTACCGATATAAATTGACTTCCTAAACTTGAAGCCGGGGCATGTTCGAGGTTCGACCTCAAAGATGCCACTTGTCGGGTAGTCGTGGGCTCCGAAGGCATATTCAATGCCATAAACTGAAAACACAGATAATAACATCCTTAAATGATCTACAAATAAAAAACAGGAACAGTCCAAAGGGAATTATTTGTAAAGGCTCTTGACATGTGAGATCCCACATCGGTTCGAGAGGGGAACAAAGCATTCTTTATAAGGGTGTAGAAACCTCTCCCTAACAGATGCGTTTTAAAAACTTTGAAAGAAAGTCCGAAAGGGAAAGCCCAAAGGAGACCATATGATCGAGAAATAATCTAACCTTCGATACCAGAGTGAAATATACCGAGGCCAGCCCAATAGACGTAGCCATTTGCAGGTGTTAAGTCATACACGTTGAGATAGACGGGCGCTTCGCCTGGAGTACCGGCAGAGGTCTTCACCTTCTCCAACAAGCACAAATCGTTGGCTGGTTTACCTCGAAAGTGAAGAGACTTGATGCAATGCCATCCGTTCTCCGATCGAGCTTTCATGGTTGACGGTGAAAGCAGGAATCAATTGGCAGGTAGGCTCAGCCTGTAAAGTTTGTAAACAAGAGTACATATTTACTTCATTAAGCTATAATGAAAAGCCAGAGGATTCACTCTGAAGTAGCATGTTTACATTGAGTTTGTTTCCGATCAAAGTATGAAATCGCGACAATGTAGACTAGTTTGTCGACCAAAAACTCGTCTCTACATTCTTAAAACAAGAACAAGAACAAGAACCGGCACCTCGGACAGGACAAGTCGTTCGTGTTCCCCTTGACAAGCCCCCAAGGACCTAGTAAATCAAGTGGCTCTAAGAACTATCAAGCGGAAACGAGTAGAATCGTACTTCTCCTCGTAATTTGTCAAATTTCAACTGCATGAATCAACCAAAAACTTGCCTCTACATTCTTAAAACAAGAACAAGAACCAACACCTCGGACAGGACAAGTCGTTCGTGTTCATCTTGCCAAGTCCCCAAGGACCTAGTAAATCGAGGCGAGTAGAATCGTACTACTCCTCGTAGTTTGTCAAATTCCAACCGCATCAATCAAGTTTCTAGAACAAGAACAAGAACCAACACCTCGAACAGCACTAGTCGTTCGTGTTCCTCTTGACAAGTCCCCAACGACCTAGTAAATCAAGGGACTCCAAGAACTATTGAGCGGAAACGAGTAGAATCGTCCTTCTCCTTCTCCCTAATCTTTCACAAGGCTAGCATTAACACATTCTTGGGATCTAATCAAGTCTCTAGCTCTCTATGTTCCCCCATCCCATCAATCAAGTAGAAGTTCTATCTAGGACATATCAATGTCTCTATAAATCCAAGAAAACAGGAGCAAATCCAGCAAAATAGATCCCCTCCAGTTACAAGCATGCTTGGATCTTTCCTAATGGAGCCTTCAATGAACTCCTCCCATAAGATTCCTTACACAGTTCCACAAGCAAAGCTAGGCCAAAATAAGTGAACAGTGTATATGAACAATGCACTTTCAATCTCAACATTCTAACTGCTAAAGAATGCTGAATGTAAGTTCAAACAAAGAACAATTCGTCATGAAATGAATCATAGTTTAGGCATAATAATCCCAAATCCAACTAGATTATATCAAGATCCAAGATCAGCGAAGAAATTGACAGCCAAACAATAAGAATCAAATGGTGGGTGGGCATTAGATTAGCTTCATATGTCCTTAAAACAACAAGAAGAAGCACAAAAGCCAGAACCCATGTGGAAAAACGAGATAATTAACGCATAAACTCAACAGAGGAAGCTAGATCAGATTCAGAAGAGACCCAGAAAGCAAAATGGCAAAAGAAACCAAGAAATACAGAAAAATTAGGGGAAAATAAGAGAACCCTTTGGGGGAATGGATGAAATAATCGAAACCCATTTGTGTGGAAGTGCGACGAACCTTTTTGGAAGGGGAAAAAGAGCCATCAGAGAGGGAAAATGGAGCAGGGAGAGAGAAGCAGGGCAGTGGCAGCCATTTTGAGAGCTCGAAAGGGGCTGAGGGAGCGTGTGGGTGACTGGAAGAGCAGAGAAGAAACGAGTGTCCTTTTCGGAAGTGGGTATTAAAGAAAGGGGAAAATGAGAGGCGATTTGAGAGGAAATTTGGAAGGAGCTAACAGTCAATGGCGTTGGTGTTGGTGTTGGTGTTGTTGAATTCGATGAAGCTCGTGGACAGCTTGAATCGCATAGTTTTTGGGAGATTTTAAATGGAAGGTTGCCATTTTCATGGAGCTCACTTTCTCTACTCTCCCAGCTTGGTCCCTGGCTGTCACTTTCAGCTTCCCTTACTCTCCTTTTATGAATAATGATGAGTTAAAAGGAATCTCTTTCTTTATGGCTATGGATTTTGTTTGAATCACTCAAATTTAGATTTAGATTTTTTTTTTTTTTTTTGTTCTTCACTAAGAGGATGAATTTATTCCCGTACAAGAGTTAATTGCATATAATTCTTTACGTAATTGACATTTTTCGTGCAAGAGTGGAGTACTTCACTCTAGATGATGAAAGTTAAAGGTCGTGCATCAGTTTCCGCCTTGTTAACGGGAATATTTGTGCAACAGTGGAGTGTTGCACTCTAGAGAGTTAGAAGTCGTACAACCGCTTCGGGCTTGTTAACTGTAATTGATATATAATTTTTTTTTAAACATAATTGGCATCTTCGTGAAATAATGGAGTGTTGCACTCTAGATAATAAGAGTTAGAGATCGCGTAGCAGTTTCCAACTTGTTAATAGTAATTGACATGTTTTTTTACGTAGTTGACATATTCATTCAACAGTGGAGTGTTGTACTCTAGATGGTGAGAGTTAGAGGTCGTGTAGCAACTTCCAACTTGTTAATAGTAATTGACATCTTTTCTAACCTAATTGATATTTTCGTGCAACAGTGGAATGTTGTACTCTAAAAGGTGAGAGTTCGAGGTCGTGTAGCAACTTCTAACTTCCCCCGAAATGGTTCGAGTTCATTATTGTTATTATATAGAATGATCGTCTTCTCTCTCATCTATCTCTCTCTTTGACCCATCCTCTCTTTTTCCTCTTTACGATAACTCTTTGAAGATTTCACACAAAAGTTATAGTTTCTATCCCTTTCTCTCCTTTTTCCATTCCCATATTGCCTAAAATCCAAAAATAGGATGAAGATAAGATTGAAACTCGAGTAGGGTTGGGTTGGAAAAAGAAAGCTACATCTAGTTCTACCTCGTTCGAGATTCATATGACAAGTTCGAGTATAACGTAATACTTTAACTAATTGAGTTATGATTACGTTTGAATTAAATAATTTCAATTTGTGACGGTCTATGGGTCGGGGCTGAAATGGGGAAAGTTTCCTTGTCCTCGTCCCCATCTACTATTCCAATATTTATTTCTATATATATATATAACGGTCTCGATAATACCCTTAAGTTAAAAAAATACCCTTAAATTTTCAAAAAGTTAAAAAAAGTTTCATTAATGTCTTTAGATGAAGGTAAAAAATTTTTAAAACTTTTTGTTATAAAGATAAAGACGGTTAATTATATTTTCAACCTTACGGATGGTAAGGTTATTTTTGAAATATTATTATATAATTAACTAATTTTTAAAATATAGAATTTTTGAAAGACCTATTAAAATATAAATTTAAAAGTTGTGGGTTTATTTTGGATTTCTAGAAGTTCAGGGGTCATTTGGCAATTTCTTCACAATTGTTGGGCGTTTTTATGATTATACATTAAATTGGGACCAAACTTTAAATACAGTCTTCTTCTGCAGACTACTTTTGTTCACAGAACGACTGGAAAGACGATCTCTGATCTCACTCTCGGTCCGTGCCACTTCCTAAAACCCTAGCGCCATGTCGAAATCCGTGGTCTTCTTTACGCTAATCGCTGTTCTTCCATTTCTCTGCGGCGCCTTCTCCCCCGAGCATCCAACAGATCGTAAAATCCTCGTTTTACTCGATGACTTTGCCATCAAATCTTCCCACTCTTTGTTCTTCAAGTCCCTTCAATCTCGAGGTTTCGACCTCGATTTCAAGCTCGCCGATGACCCTAAGATCGCTTTGCAGAGACATGGACGCTATTTCTATGACGCATTGATCTTGTTTGCGCCAACAATTGAACGTAAGTCTTCGTTCATTTCTTCATCTGAAGGTTTCGTGTTGGAATTCTTGTATGTTTTTTATGTTTCCCATTTGGAAATTGGAGACATTAGGTCAACTGGGGTTTCAATTGTTTTGCATTTATTAATTTTTTTAGTTCTTATCTTTTGAGGTAGCCCGAATTACTCTTAATGGATTGCATCGATTTTACATTTTCATTTGTGGGTGTTTTAGGTTTTGGAGGATCCATCGATCCTGCTGCTGTACTGGATTTTGTTGATTCGGGCCATGATCTAATTCTTGCTGCTGATTCTAATGGATCTGAGTTAATCCGAGCAATTGCCACTGAATGTGGTGTTGATTTTGATGAGGTTGGTGGATATCTAGAACATATTACCTTTTTATCTTTAGCATAATTTTGAACCCTACTTCATTTATATAAGAAATTCGCCGCATTTCTGTACTTAATGTACTTATATGAGAAATATTATGCCATAGGATCCAGCTGCAGTAGTGATCGACCACACGGGCTATGCGGTGTCAGAGTCCGAGGGTGATCACACATTGATTGCAAGTGATGATTTGATCAAGTCTTGTGTTATTGTGGGAAGCCGGAAAATTGAGGCAAGTGCTATTTATATTTTTTGAAAGAGGTTCATGTGGGAAGATAATAGGTCTTGTTTGCATTTTCGTTTACTTACTTTAGGTCTTGAATTCTAACATTCTGTATTAACTCTATTTTGTGTTTGTAACTGTCATTGTGGTAATAATTCTTATTTCTAACTACTATTTGAATGAATGTTCCACACAGGCTCCTATACTTTTCCAGGGGATCGCCCATACTTTAAATCCTGCCAATAGTTTGGTAAGATACTTGGATAGTGTTTACTTTACAACTTCCTCAAAGAATGTGGTTCTAATTAAAGCTTCAGGAAGTTGCTACATTACTCTGGATTGGCATGACCAGTTTTATGTATTAAGCTCTCTTCTTTTATTCTCTAGGTGCTAAAAGCTCTCTCAGCATCTCCCTCAGCTTATTCTGCCAACCCAAAGTCCAAGCTTTCAAGTCCTCCACAACTAACAGGATCTGCCATCTCTCTGGTTTCAGTCATTCAGGTCAATATTTTATTAAGTTTCTGCTTTTGCTATGTATCTCTCTGTTAATGGTTTGTTTCTATGTTACTGGAGCATGAAGTTCGATAAACAAAATGATGAAGTCTTGAATAGTCACAATGAGGGACCTTTGTGTGTGATTGGTGGACTTAGCTTTTATATTGCTTTCCAAGGACCTCTCGATTTCGAGACATAGATTAATTCTTTAAACTTGGTTATTCAAGTATGAAATTTAACCCTATCGGCATTATTTTCTTAGTTTTCTTCTGGTCTCATAAGTTTGTAAAGCCTCTCATTTTTATCCATTTGGCAGGGAGCAACCTTTGTCTTTTCTTTATATGTACAAATACTTGATTGTTGTAATTTTTAGTAAGTACATAAACTTTTTGTTGATTAAAACTCATGCTGGTCTTGCATCTGTTTCCTGTGATATATTTAGTGGATGCATCTTTGAAAAAATGAGACTGACTAGAGTTTAGGATGTTTATTGGCCTCTTGATGAAGAGTTTTCTTTTTCTTTTTCTTTTGTCAAATTTTTTACCAGCCGTTCTTTGTGCTCTCTCTTTCACAGACCTACAGTATAATTTCTTATAATCATTAAAAGAGGGAGAGAGTTCAAGAGAGAGAGAAATTAGAAGTTCTCTCCTTATCCCGAAAATAAATAAATAAATAAAAAGAAGAAAAGAAAAGAAAAGAAAAGATAAGAAAAAAAGAATTAAAAGTTCTTTCTATGTTGCAGGCGAGAAACAATGCCCGGATTTTGATATCTGGATCATTAAGTTTGTTTAGCAACCGGTAGGGATCACTTCTAACCTATTTCCTGGAACTAACTTTAGTTCTTTTCTTCTTCTGCTTCTCAGGATCTCTTAATAATATATATATTTTTTTCTCTTGTTTATAGATTTTTTAAATCTGGGGTGCAGAAGGCTGGAAGTCCAACGAGGTAAGTCAACAAGCATCAACTAGACCGTATTACTTGATAAAAACATTCATAGTGGATGTCGAAACTTCAATCAGATTTTATAACTTACCATGATTCTTCTGATCAGACATGGTTGATGTCTTGGTGATCATTATGACATCTTAACGTGGAATGATGGTTGCTGTCCATGGTTTGTAAATTGAACTTGAAAATGATTCATTAGTAAAAAAAAAAATTTAGTGCAACCGTTATATATAAAAATATTATTAATGGATGGTGGAAAACAATTATGTAGCTGCATCAATTATTAACGAACTGTTTGTTTGGTCCTCACAACCTGGATTGGAATTTTTGGCTAAGAATATTGCTTGAACATTGACGACAATTTTGATCACTTAGCAATTATTAGTACTTAGCATGCTTATGAGCTATTGAATATACTTGTTTAAGAGATTATGTTGTGATAGGTATGCTAAGTCAGGCAACGAGCAGTTTTCAATTGTACTAAGCAACTGGGTTTTCCACGAGAGAGGTCATCTTAAGGTGAGGCATTTCTTTGGCTTTCTTACATGAAACTCCAATTTAACTTCTTGGCATTTTCTACTCGGTATGAGTTTGTTCTAGAATCAGATTGTAGATGCTATAATTCTAACCGACGCTCCGGTAATAAATGCTTGTATTTTTAGGCTGTGAATGTTAGGCACCACAAAGTTGGGGAAGCTGATGAACCAGCAATGTACAGGATTAATGATGAATTGGTAATTTTAATTTCAGAAAGGCTAAATAAATTCTGAATGAGATGGAAATATTTGGGTTCTTCTGACCGTTGGATTTTGTTTAAAGGAATATTCAGTTGAGATTTACGAGTGGTCGGGTAAGGCGTGGGAGCCATATGTCACTGATGACGTCCAAGTGCAGTTTTACATGATGAGCCCCTATGTTCTAAAAACTTTATCAACTGACAACAAGGTATGGATTTCTTTTTGATAACTGTTTTTTGTTTCGTTTTACCTATGAATCTGATTGGACCCAAATATTAATAGCTACTTCCTAGATTCAACCCAAATATTAATAGCTACTTCCTCTTGTAGGGTCGTTATCATACCGCCTTCAAAGTTCCAGATGTATACGGAGTATTCCAGTTCAAGGTCGAGTATCAAAAACTTGGCTACACTACCTTATCTCTATCCAAGCAGGTAATGTTCGAATTTTACCTTGATGCAATCCATTTTAGCTTTCTGAAAATTACCATTTTTTCTTTTGCGCCCATCAGTTTTCGATATTATGCAATTGCTCTTTGTTTGAAATGAAACTTGATCACTATTTTCGAACTTACTTACTCGTGCCTCTACGCTGTGCACACACCTTTAGCACCTCTAATAGTAAACCATTTCATTCTTCATCTACTGATAAAGAACCATTGGTAAACTTATTGTCTGTTACTTGAACATTCATAAATTGCAGATTCCAGTGAGACCCTTTAGGCACAATGAATATGAAAGATTCATTCCCACAGCTTATCCATACTACGGATCAGCATTTTCAATGGTACGCCTCTTTTATGTGTCTTTTTGAGATGGGAAATTGCACTCTCTTGACCCTTTTTCCATTTGAATATCTATTCCATGTTGATTGATCCTTTCTCTGAATCACATCAGGTTTAGATTCATTAACCTTTCGATACTTTTTCGGTTTTTAGTTTATTTCTTAGTTCTATATTTTCACGGGTTTTAAAAAGCACGTTTCGTTTCTAAAAAACAAAGATTACGAAACGAATAGAAGAGGTAAATAAGCTCATCATCATTATCAATATCATAGAGTTTATTCTTCCATGTTCTTAATGTGCAGTTCTATGCTTTGAAATTGGTATAAATCATAAGAATTAAATTGTGTGCAGATGGCTGGCTTCTTCATCTTCACTATTGTTCATCTATACAACAAGTAATGAATCAACTATGCAGATGCGAACTAGATCAATGTAAGAACGCAGAGCTTAGTTTTTTTTTTATATTTTGTTCTGATTTTGAATTATAATTTGAGCTCTACTTTTGCATATTGGAATTTTAGAGGAAATGACAATTTTGTTGCTTCTTTCTCATGCTTGGCTGACGATTTGATCACTTTTTATATCAATGTCGAACCTATAAATATCTGCACGACGATAATTCAAAACACCGTTCTAACACAAAATAAAATTTCTGATATTTCTGAATAATTGATCAATCTGCTGATATAATTTTCACAAAATGTAATTATTCAGATGAAATTGTACCTTTTTTTTTCCCTATCAGGTTGTGTTTAAAGTAACATTTTGAATAAGGTTCGTCTTATTTTTATTTTTCATTATTTTTTGAAACCTTACTATCTCCCAAGGTAATTCCAAGTGTAAAATGTGGAAGATAAAATAAGTTAATTAATCCATAATTAGTTCAATTTAAAAAAGAAAGCATTAAGTAAAAAAAAAAAAAAAAAAAAAAAAGATATATATATATATATATATATTGAAAAATATTTGATCTCGATATTTTAATATTGTAAGCAATGTTAATATAAACTTATTTTAATGTTAGTTATATATACCAATTTTTATAAACTAATTATCATTCAATCATTTTTTAAAAAAGAATTATAGAAAAAAGGTTTCCATTCTCTATGAATTTTGAAAAAAATATTCATACAATGTCTTTTTTTAATGTAAATTATTGGTTTTATTTTTCCAATTTTGAAGCTTGACTAATCTAAATGTTAATTTGTTTTTAAAACGAGTAATTTAAGTATGATTAAAAATAAATGATATTAATGACAAATAGTTCGGCAGGGAAAATAAAGAAAACAGAAAAAAAGCGCTAGAAGGAGGGCTTGAACCTCCGACCTTGTGGTTAACAGCCACACGCTCTAACCAACTGAGCTATTCCAGCTGATGTTATAGATACTTCTAGTACATTATTTATTTCCAATAAGAGACGGCGAGCCTCACCGGCGGTGGTTCGAGTCATATTGCAGTGCAAAAAGGATGTTTAGAAGAGCCAGGAGGGGTTCGAGCTCGTGGAAGACTACTTTGATAGCAGCCTCCAGACGCTGGATTTCTGTTCCGCTCTGGAAAACTGCCTCAAGCGAGCTCGGGATAGTCAGCTGCTCATTTAATGGCGCCGAGGCTGTTCGAGGAGGAGGAATCTCAAATGGGTCATCCAAATCAGTTCACCAAAACCCTATGGCGGCGACCATCGTCGCGGTGCCACCGGTCGCAGCAGTGCTATCAGCAGCGTCCTAGATTCCTCTGGGTCCTCGAGGGGGGGGGGGGGGGGGGGNGGGGGGGGGGGGGGGGGGGGGGGGGGGGGGGGGGGAGAAGTGATAAACTTAATGCAAGTAGGACCTACATTGTGTTGAATGATGGAAGTCCCACGTCGGCTAATTTAGGAAATGATCATGGATTTATAATCAAGAAATATTCTCTTTATTGGTATGAGACCTTTTGGGAAAGCCCAAATCACAGCCATAAGAGCTTATGCTCAAAGTGTACAATATCATATCAGCGTGGAGAGCCGTATTCATCTAACATATTGTTCCTATTTTCAATCCCTTCCATACCAATTTTCACTCTTTCCTCTACTTATTTATTGATTAAAATATAATTTTGATCGTAAATTTACCCGATATCGATAGAGATGTCCATTTAACCACGAAGTTGGAATCGTATAGAAGGGGCGGAGGATCTTTAATTGGATAGAGAATAGAAGGAGCAGAGAGAGATTTCTTCCCATTAGCTAAATGAGACTGTAGGTGAAGATTCTATTCTCCATCCTGTCTTTGTCCCCACCCCGACCGTTATATAAAACCAACCTCTATATAAAAAATTATTGGATTTAATACGATGTTTTACATGATGACAATTGAAATAGAAGATAGGGACAAGAAGGTTTCTCCATCCCCGCTCCACCTTATGGACATCTCTAGTTCTCGACTTTTCAAGATATTCCTTTGACAAGCATTTGCAAGGATTATTTTATAAGATAAATGTGTGAAGTTTATTTATTATGTCACTATTTTTAATATCATAAACATAATCTAGCAAACAAAAATGGAAAAGAAAGGAAGAGAAAAGAGTTCAGTAACGCTATACTCTGTAGTTTGCTTTTATCCAAGCTATTCAACCTGCGCAGTTCCTTCCCCTTTCATCTCGAAAACCTTCTTAAGAACATTTCCAACAACCTATAATTTTTAACCCATTTCACAAAAGTTAATGGCGGATCGACAATTTACAGTCACAGACAAGGTTTAACAGCAACTTTTAACTTACCTTATCTGGTGTAGAGGCACCGGAGGTCACTCCAATGGTAACATGTCCATCAGGTAGCCAGTTTTCTTTCTTCGCCAGCTCCCCGTGCTGTCGTGCGATTCAACGAGTTTGACATGAGTATAAATGTGACAATCCAAGCCCACAGCTAGCAGAAATTGTCCTTTTTGGGCTTTCCCTTCCGGGCTTCCCCTCAAGGACTTAAAATGCGTCTGTTGGGGAGAGGTTTCCGCACCCTTATAAAGAATGTATTGTTCCCCTCTCCAACCGATGTGGGATCTTACAATCCACCCTCTTTCGGGACCCAGCGTCCTCGCTGATACACCGCTTGGTGTCCACCCCCTTCGGGGTTCAACCTGCTTACTGAAACATCGTCCAGTGTTTAACTCTGATACTATTTGCAATGGCCCAAGCCCACCGCTAGTAGATACTATCATTTTTGGGTTTTCCTTTCTGGGCTTCCTCTCAAGATTTTAAAACGCATCTTCTACGGAGAGGTTTCCATACCCTTAAAAAGAATGTTTTGTTTCCCCACTCCAATCAACGTGGGATCTCACAATAAAAGAAAAACAAATGCTAAGTAGTCTTTGGATCAACATTCTAGATTCATACTTACATTGAGCTTGTATGATATCGAGTTTCCTGGCCCTATACGTTGCTCGCTGTCGATCCAGTACGACGGGATTCCTCGAGCCTCTGCAATCTCTTGAAGGTGAGAGGTGTTGCTTGAGTTCCATCCTCCAACAACTAACATGAGATCCATATCTTCCTCCACCAGCTGGTACATGGCATCTTGACGCACCTAAGGAAAAACACCACCTCCAATCAACATCACGAGATTTTATCGCGAGTAAATACATAATTTTGTAAATTACGAGAAAGTTCGGCCTATTATCAACGGACACGAGGTCCTTACTAGCAGTAAACTTGCCATCTCATCCGTTTCAAACAATATCAACACTTTACACGACCCCTTTAACATGTGGAACTTACTTGAGTAGCATTACAGATCGTATTGAAACTAATGAAGTGATCATTAATATTTTCAATTCCATACTTCCGCATCATAGTTTTCTCGATCAATTTTCCTGTTATCAGAATCATAAAATCAATGATTCACAGATTGCGAGTTTCTAACAAATCAATGGCTCCAAAAATTTACCGATCTCTTCTGTTTCCCCTTTGAGCATTGTGGTCTGATTAGCAATGCCAACTTTCATGAGATCACTATCTGGGTCGAATCCTTTTGAAAGAGCAGACTTAAATTTCTACAAACAAGCCAGAAACTCGACTATTATCATGAGCGACGATATCGTAAAGTATCAGCAAGTTCCATTAAGCAAATCATTAACATGTTGTACCTTTAAAAAAGCTTCTTTAGTTGAGATTAATCCATTACTTTCAACCCCAAGAATGTAGTCGCATACATACGTCGCCTGACATCGGTTCATATTTTAGTTTTAAAATGCTTCCTTATGCTATGAGCCAAAAGTACCAAGGATTTACCTCTACCATGTCTTTCACAATGATGTACTTTCCAGCGAACGAAGCAGTTGCTACGGTTTCTTCATGACGATACTTGCCGTGAATTATTGATGTGTATTCTCCTTTTTTGTGCTTGTCAACAGCATTCCAAACCTATACAAAAGAATTGCAGAGGTAATCTCAGCATCAACAGCTACACTGTGCCCTTACTTCCCTTCAATGATGGTACTCGGACGGACTGTGAATGACAAGAAAATGATGGAGTACCTTGGAAACCCATGGGCAAGTTGTGTCAACAATCTTAACTTTTTTGTCACTCAGAACAAGCATTTCATCAACTGCAGCCCCAAAGGCAGGCAAAATCACAACATCTCCAGGGTTAACGACATCAAATCGTTTCTTTCCTTCCTCCAGAGGAATGTTGTACACTCCCATCTCCTCCAAACGCTGCAGACTCATAGAATTTCCAAACAGTTACAGTAAGATATTTCATTCAACACATCATGTTGTTGGCAACCCTAAAAGAAAATCAGAATAAAACAACACAATAAGGAAGAGTACGATCTAAACTTGGGAGTATCGAGGATTATTGAAAGGAGTAGTCCTACATTGGCTAATTAAGAGGAAAATCATGAGTTTATAACCAAGGAACACTATCTCCATTGTTATGAGTTATTTTGGGGAAACCAAAAGCAAAACCACGTGCCCTTATGCTCAAAGTGGACAATATCATACCATTGTGGAGGGTCGTGTTTTCTAATATGGTATCAAAGCCATGCCCTTAACTTAGTCATGTCAATAGAATCCTCAAATGTCGAACAAAGATGTTGAGAGCCTCGAAGGTGTAGTCAAAAGTGATTCAAGTGTCGAACGAAGGGTGTACTTTGTTTGAGGGCTCTAGAGAAAGAAGTCGAACCTTGATTAAGGGGAGGTTGTTCGAGGGCTTCATAGACCTTAGGGGAGGCTCTATGGTATAACTTGTTTGAGGGGAGGATTGTTGACGATTATTGAAAGGAGTAGTCCCACATTAGCTAAATAAAAGGAAGATCATGGGTTTATAAGTAAGGATGTTTGGGGAAACCAAAAGCAAAACCATGAGAGCTTACGCTTAAAGTGGACAATATCATACCATTGTAGAGGGTCATGATTCCTAACAGGGAGAAGTTCTTTACTACATAAATACTTACAGTACTACTACAACATGGATCATACTTTCGTATCCATGTCATTATGTATTGAAGTCGCTAAATAAAATAACGTAACAACAACTCAACATTTTCAAGCGCAGACCAAACGATAGTGTTTCAAATGACATTTTAAGTGCTTAAAAACACTCGGAAAGTAATTTCAAACACACCCTTAGCATGTGCTAGAACATTTGTGATCATTGTGTAACCAATGAAACAGTAAAGGCAAGAAAAGTTAAAGCATCAAAAGGACCTTGTTAACAGTTGGGTTATGAATAATCTCATTGGTAATCCATATTGTTTCACTCGGAAACTGTTTCCTCGCTTCATAAGCAATCTGCACAGCTCGTTCCACTCCCCAACAAAAGCCATAAGCTCCAGCCAATTTGACAGTAACATTCCCCCAAGTGAACCGATTCCCATTTTCATTCAGAGTATTCACAACTTCACCTAAGCCATTCAATACAAAAAAAAAAAAAAATTGGCACCAACAAAACGAGGATTCAACACACTAAAATCATCATTCAAATACAACAAAAACTCACTTGTGAACTCGCTACTCATGAGCTTCAACGTCTCCTCCTTATGCCCAAACCCTTTCCGATTATAGTTTTCACCTCTGGAAAAGTTCTTCCAAAACAGCTTCGCATCGAAATCGGGATTGACCGACGAAGAATCAGCAGTGCACCGAACCAAAAGGGGTTTCCGGCACCGGAGAGCTCCGCCGGCGGAGAATCTCTTCGATGAAACAGAGTCTACACGTAGGTGAAGACGGGGGATCTGCAGAGAAATCGCCATGGGAAACGGTGGTGTAACAACAGCGAAGAATGGACGTTGACGTAGAAATATGAACGCACAGCATTGTTGGAGCTTCGTAAATTACGTTTCGAATTCAAAGTCCAAATCCGGAAAAGTTCTACTCATTAAAATACAGAAATCAATGAACAGGTATACCGAATCTTGATCCTGCTTTACAGATTACCTCCTCCGATTAGCAGAGATGGAGGGTGGTTGAAAGCATGGAACGACTACGAGTGAAAAAACATCGAACTTTTGGAAGAACTTTCTACTTTATTTCGCTCATTTTTCAAATAAAAATATCTCTTTTATCTTAAAAAAAAAGTTTGAATAATATCTAATTTTAGATTAAAAAAAATAATAATAATTGAAGGAGTTCGATTAATATTAAAAAAAATATATATATTATTTTTATATTTAAAATAATTTAATATTAATATTGTTCCACTTGCTTTAAAAAAATTTAAAATACTTTTAACATCATTAAAAATTATCCCTAATTTTAAAAATAGCATTAACATTCTTGCTCGTCAATATATAGACGAAAACTATTTATTGATACTTATAGATTATTTACCAACGTTTTAATGTTACTTTAGAAAGTTTTTTAGTATTTTTAAAATGTGGTACCGACTGTAAATATATTTTTTATTATTTTAAAAAAATTCTTGAAAGTTGTTAAAAAAATTTAAAGATATTTTTTAACCCGTCTTAAAAATTAAGGATATTTTTTAAAGAAAAATATTAAGAGTAAAATTAATAAGTATAATTGTAACATTAAATAACGTTATTTAGTAGCAGTGAAAAAGTAAAATAAACTAAAAGTAATTTACATTTCAAATAAACTATATATTTATTTTTATTTTTATTTTTAAATTTAAGAATATTATTGAATGAAAGCAGAAAATATTTTATTAATTTAGCATAAAATAGAAAAAATACAAAAGATTCTAAGATACCAAGCGTCTACAGCAATCATGAACCGGATATTTCATCGGACCAAAACGACGTCGTTTACCGGAAGTAATAATACGACGTAGTATTGCTTTTGCTCTCTCTGGACTCCGGACTTCTCTTCTCGCTCACAAGTTTGCTCTCTTTTTTTTTATTATTTATTATTTTTTGTTTTATTTACTTCATCGGAGCGACTACCATTTAGTCGTTGTCCTTTCACTCTCATCGCCGGCTTTTCCAACGATCTCCCCGGAGGGAAACGTTCTCCGGCGTTCCCCGATTCTCCGGATCGGATTTATTCATCGAATCTCCCTCGTTATCGATTGATATTTTTTCTTACTTGTATTACCAACTGAGCTTTGCTTTTTTATTTTTTTATTTTTCCATCTGACTTCAATTTGTCTTCTCTTTCCCCAATTCGATTTCGCTATTTCTTTCGCCAATTTTTCAATGGAGGACTGCATCAGCAGCGATGAAGACTACTATGACTCCGATCGTGAGTCTCTTCAGGGTCTCGAGAACGAGGACTCTGAAATTCAGTGGGTTTCTAAAGGTTCCGCGACTAAGGTATTCTATTTTTTTTTGGTACGAGGAGGGATTCTAATTGCGATTGATTACTTGGTTTGCTGATTGAAAGTTGTAACTCTTGTTGTTGGATTCAATTTTAGTGAGTTTCTTTTGTGGTGATGGCAGGGAATGAATTGATTGGGTTGAAATATAACGCTCCTTGTTTTGTTTTTTGGACTCTTACTGTTTTTGTTGTTATTATTACTCTTTCCTGAAAAAAAGAGGTTTTTCTCCAAGTTTGTGATGATGGGGCGGCGGAATTTGGTGCATAATGCTTGGAATTTCTTTCCTGTTGAGATTCATGTGAATTTTCTAATCAATCATGCTTATGAAAACCCTTTTTGTTGTTTTCAGGTTATTACAAAGGAATCTCTCCTTGCTGCACAGGTTTAGCACCGGTTCTTCCCATCATATAAAAGACAATTGATCTCATTCTATTCTTTCATTGGATTCATGGGTTCTTTTTCGTTATTTGAATCTGATTTTAGGGCCTTTTTGTTTTCGTGTAGAAGGAGGACATGCGTAGAGTAATGGAGTTACTATCATTGAGGGAGCACCATGCTCGGACCTTACTCATTCATTACCGATGGGATGTAGAGAAATTGTTTGCAGTACTTGTGGAGAAAGGGAAAAGTCACTTGTTTGCTACTGCTGGTGTTACTATGATTGAGAATCGAAGTAATTGTTCCTCTGAGACTTCCTCCGTGGTGATGTGTGATATCTGCATGGAGGAAGTACATAGCAATGATGCAACAAGAGTGGATTGTGGTCATTGCTTTTGCAATAACTGTAAGCCTTTTTTTCCCTCTAAAATTAGATTTTGAATGGCCTTGTGAACTAATATTGTAAAGATTGTCTGTGATGTTAGTTGTAAGCAATTGTTATGGAATCAAATTGTGCTAAGTTCGTATAAATGACTAATAATTGGCTGAGCTGTATTTCTTGCTTCAGGTTGGACTGAACATTTCATTGTGAAAATAAATGAGGGTCAGAGTCGTAGAATCAGATGCATGGCCCACAAATGTAATGCAATTTGTGATGAAGCTGTTGTTAGGAATCTAGTTAGTAAAAGGCATCCAGATCTTGCCAATAAATTTGATCGTTTCCTTCTTGAATCATACATCGAGGATAACAAAAGAGTCAAGTGGTGTCCAAGCGCTCCTCATTGCGGCAATGCTATACGCGTGGAGGATGATGAGTTCTGTGAAGTAGAATGTTCTTGTGGTCTTCAGTTTTGTTTCAGTTGCTTATCAGATGCTCACTCGCCGTGTTCATGTTTGATGTGGGAACTTTGGATCAAGAAGTGCCGAGATGAATCTGAAACTGTTAACTGGATTACAGTTCATACAAAGCCCTGTCCGAAGTGCCATAAACCTGTGGAGAAGAACGGAGGCTGTAATCTCGTCAGCTGCATCTGTGGTCAAGCATTTTGGTAAGATTATACTATTTTTTTAATCATTTTCTTTGTTATAGTTTTTTTCAGTAAATGGGTGAAATGGCGCATTCTGTTCAAAACTACTTAGATATGAGACCTGAAATCAAACTTTCAGATAGCGATGATCCCTTTCATATATTGGCGAGACTTTGAGGCAGATAGCTCATTTTCATATTTTGCTGAAACTGAGACCGACACTGCAAGTATCAGCCAGTGTGGTACTCGTCAGATACTTACTGTTCATAGTTAGGTTCGATATAAGACAAATGATCATACATCTAAATTCTTCTCTCGCAAAGCATACATGATTTTAGCGGCCTTGAGGAAGTAACTTTCTGCATTTCATTTGATGTGAAAATGTTCTGAAGAATCTAGTCATTTGGTGCCCTTTCTGTCTCTTTCTATGAACAAAATTATTTTTCTTTGCTATTGTCTTTTTAATATATGCCATTGATTCATATAATGGTGCACCACTTTTTGAGGTCTCGAACAATTTGTGAGTGGTCAATAATCTTCGTGATTTTTTTTAATAATTTTTAAGACCTTTTGGGAATTTGCTAATTTGTTATCAATAGAATTTAAATGATCTCACATCATGGTTTGTTTTTTCTTTATAGATGATAGATTAGTTAGATGTATATTGGAAATTTCGAACAAGTTCTAAGTAGGATTGCAGTTACTTAATTAGATAGTACTACCTAATCCATCTCCATTACTTTGATTGAAACTTAGAATAGGAAAATTTTCAATTGAATATTATGGTTTGAATTACCATAATCCACTCTAATATTTCTCTACATTTACGTGAACAAGTTCAATATAATTTATTTCATTTTAACCTTATGCTGGTTATAGATTCTGTAAAAATACGAATCTCCATGATCTAAGGAAATAAGTTTAGTTGGGTGCGAAGTATGATGTGTGAAAGATGGTTATTTTTTTCTTTTAACTCACCAAATAATTACTTAAACCTTGCTTCAATTTGAATATAAATTCATAAAAGTCGAGCATTTAGTGCTTAAGAGATAAGTTTATGATAGTAGAACTGTTTCTTTTTCCAATTGTTATTCTTTACAATAAAATTCATTTGAATAATATTTTCATAAACACTTCAATTTTAGCATATGGACCGCAGTAGTTAATTTCATCTCTTAACCAGCTGCTTGTTTCTATTTTAGCTATGTGTTCTTCTCACCTTGTTTTACTTTTATTAAGTGGGTCTAAGTTTCTAATTCCCATCCTTCTGGTACAGTTGGCTGTGTGGTGGAGCCACTGGTCGAGAGCACACTTGGTCGAGTATTTCTGGTCATAGTTGTGGGCGTTACAAAGAAGAATCAGAACAGAAAGCTGAGCGAGCAAAACGGGATTTGTACCGTTATATGCACTATCATAATCGATACAAAGCTCATACAGATTCTTTTAAGCTTGAAAGCAAATTGAAGGAATCCATACAAGAGAAGATCTCGATTTCTGAAGAGAAGGAATCTATGCTCAGAGATTTTAGTTGGGTAAACAATGGACTGTGTAGACTTTTCAGATCAAGGCGGGTTCTATCATACTCTTACCCATTTGCGTTCTATATGTTTGGGGATGAGCTATTCAAAGACGAGATGACTCAGGAGGAAAGGGAGATAAGGCAGCATCTATTTGAGGACCAACAGCAGCAACTTGAGGCAAATGTTGAGAAGCTCTCCAAGTTTTTAGAGGAACCGTTTGATCAATACACAAAAGACAGGGTAATGGATATAAGGATGCAAGTCATCAATCTGTCGGTTATCACCGATACCCTCTGCAAGAAGATGTAAGTATACTGAGCTATCTGTTCTTCTAAAAATGTGTAAAGCTCTTGGAAGTCATGTCTTATTCTAACGCAGGTACGACTGTATTGAGAATGATCTTCTGGGTTCACTTGAACTGGGTATCCACAATATTGCTCCTTACAAGTCGAAGGGCATTGAGAAGGCGCTGGAGCTTTCTGCTTGTTGGAACAGCAAAGCAAATACTACAGACAAATATCTGCCATCAGACTGTGGAACAAGTGGTAAAGTGGAGAGTACTTTTCTACACTTTTTTATTCATCCCTGTTCGGTTCACAAATCGTGATTTCGATTCGTCTGTCTCAGTTCACAAATTTTGATCTCAATGCGTCTGTCTCTTAACAGTGTCCCTTATTTTTGAAAATATACATTTATCATCTACATCTCTAAATCAAGATCATTGGGCATTGCTTGGTCTTTCTTTAGTCAGATAAATCTTTATTTTGGGCCTATTTGATGTGGAGTTCTTAGAATTCTTTTCAGTCAATTTCTGAGACAATATATAAAGGAAACTACCTGCAATACGGCTTTGTATAGATACTGGGTATAAAGTTTTACTGATGGTATAAATGCAGGAGGATTGTCAGAGCGGAATAGACTGAGTAGCTTGAATACTGATGAGAACGGATGCTCGTCTAGGAAGCGTGCCAGAGCTGAAGTCGTTACTGGCAACTGCTTCGATCTAAACTTACCTGCTGAGGTTGTTGATAGAAACTGATCTCTCGAAGTTGCGAGTTTATAACGTACAGTTGTACAGATCTGACATAAAACATTAGCTTCGTTAGCACGGGGACAGGCAATCGAGGATTGGCAATCCTAGGTACTTTTAACTCTTTACTCTTTGTTTATCATGTTTGTCTCAGGTTGAATATATTGTCTTCGGCTGAGCTATATTTTGAAAGAGAATTATCTTTAAGTTTCACGTTCTTTACTTTTGAAAATCCGCAAATTGTACATAGCAGTGATATCGGGATTTGATGATGGTATTTGGAATGTAAATGCTTAGTTCTCAGCTTGAGACAGACAAGAGGGTATATGCATTTTGAGCTCTAGTCTAATATTCTCTCTTGCTGGAAGTCAAATTTCTATGCTGTGTTTTATTTGATGTTTTTCCTGAAGTTCATGTCGTGTGCCATGAACATTTCCATGTCTGGTGATCTGTTTTTGGTCATATCCTGATCTTTGCCTTTTACAGGAAGAAATAATGATAAAAGCTGGTTATAGCTGTTGGAATCTTTGGCATTTCATGATTTTGTTTTTAGTTAAACACGGGAGTAAAGTCGAACGTTCAACTTCTTCTTGATTGAAGATATGTGTTTTAACTAGTTGAGTTATGCTAACGTTGGCATTTTTAGTGGTTTATGATGGGAAGTGTCACTTTCTTGGTGGGTTATAGCTGTTGGAATGTTCCTCATTTCATGATGATTTTATTTTTAGGTAAACACGTGGAGTGAAGTCTCGAACCTTCAACTTCTTGGTTGAAGATATGTATTTTAACTAGTTGAGTTATGTTTACGTTGATGTTTTGAGTGGTTTATAATTGGAAGTGTCACTTTTTTGGCTGGTTATAGCGGTTAGAATGTTCCACATTTCATGATTTTGTTTTTAGTTAAACATGTGAGAGTGAGGTCGAATCTTCAACTTTTGTATTGAGGATATATATTTTAACCAGTCAAATATTGAAGTTATCGAATATAAAAATTATAGAAAATTTTACATTGATTAGAAGCTATGAATGCTTTATTATTTCATAAATGATGAATCATTCAATTGTCAATTCAACTAAATAAATGACTTAAGAACGATGCACATGAATTAAGATACAATTTTGAAATTGTTCGTACTTTTAAACAAAAAAATTAGTGAGTTGGTGTTTAATAAGTTTCGACTCGAAGATGATAAATCAAACCATTTAAGTGTTTAATATTAAATTGGAAAGTTTTTATAGGATTGTTGATTTAAATTACATTATTGTAAATATTTTCACACTTTGATGTAAAAAAAAAAAAAAAAAAAACAACTAAAAAATCCTATTCAAATGTTTCAATTTAAATTAGAATTTAAAATAAAAGAATAGAGCAACAAATTACATTGAAGTAAAAATTGAGAATTGACAAATAGTTTGGTTAGAAAATCTACCAAATTTTTTAGAAAAAATAACTTTTTAAAATTAATTAATGGTTAAATATTATTTACAATTAGTTTTAAATTAATTACCTTATTTTATTTTATTTTATATTTATTATACATAGAATTTAACCTTTTAACATTTTTAAAACATTCATGCAACTTTTAAAAATTCAGAATGAGATATCTAAGATTTGTTAGATGAAAGTCCCACGTTTCGACTGGATTTATAATCCAACAATATTATCTCTATTAGTATGAGGCATTTTGGGGAAGCCCAAACCAAAGCCACGAGAATTGATGCTCAAAGTAGACAATATCATACCATTGTGGAGACTCGTGTTCGTCTAACATGGTATCAGAGCTATGTCAATAAAATTCTCAAATGTCGAACAAAGAACTCCAAACGAAAAGGAGTACGCATAGTAAAAAATGACTAAGACGCCATAAACCCAAAAGAAAAGGAGTCGAGTCTCGATTAAGGGAAGACATACTTTGTTTGAGGGGAGGTGTTGAATGAAAGTCCCACATCGACATGAGTTTATAATCAAGGAATACTATCTCTCAGAGTTTCAATTAAGGGGAGACATGCTTTGTTCGATGGGAGGTATTGGATGAAAGTCCCAGAGCCTCGATTAAGGAGGGCATACTTTGTTCGAGGGGAGGTGTTGGATGAAAGTCCCACATCGACTTGAGTTTATAATCAATGAATACTATCCCTTAGAGCCTCGATTAAGGGGAGACATACTTTATTCGAGGGGGAGGTGTTGGATGAAAGTCCCACATCTGCTTGGGTTTATAATCAAGGAATACTATCTTCATTGATACGAGCCTTTTGGAGGAGCTCTATGCTCAAAGTGGATACGATTATGGAGAGTCGTGTTCATGAAGATTTAAATATATTTTCTATAATATTAGCCTTGTTTAATAAATTTGAATAAAAAAAATGTTTGAAAAGATTAAGTCCAATGCAATTTGAAGGATTATGACATATACTATAAACGTGGGAGGGAATCACTTCGGCCAATCAATATACATATAGAGCACAGGAGTCGCTTGTAATCTTCTAATTTGGCCACCAGAAGCCACTTATTTGGCGGATTCTGATTCCAAGTCTTGTGCTTTTCCAAACCCCACTTCCCATGTTTGCCTTCCCTTTCTTCCCCTCAAAACCCTAGGCGGAGCCGGAGAAATCCCCGCCCATGGAAGAAGACAGTATAGATATGGTTCTGGCCAGAGCCACCGACCTCCGATTGAAGATCAGCAACTGCATTCACAATGCAACAACCACTGCTAGAACGGGAAATGAAGCCGCTGACGACGGCGGTTCCGGTTCCGAAACTGCGGTCGGAGATACGGAGGACGATGAAGAAGTAGAACGACTTTTGAGTGTCTGCGATGCTCTCGAGTCCTTGGAGACTCAGCTCTCCTCGTTGCAGGTTTTCTCTTAATTGGAACCTTTTTTTTTTTTTTTTTTTTTTTT